GTGTGTGTGTAACTGTGTGTGTGTAACTGTGTGTGTGTAACTGTGTGTGTGTGTGTGTAACTGTGTGTGTGTAACTGTGTGTGTGTGTGTGTGTAACTGTGTGTGTGTAACTGTGTGTGTGTGTAACTGTGTGTGTGTGTAACTGTGTGTGTGTGTGACTGTGTGTGTGTGTGTAACTGTGTGTGTGTGTGTAACTGTGTGTGTGTGTGACTGTGTGTAACTGTGTGTGTGTGTGTGTAACTGTGTGTAACTGTGTGTGTGTGTGTGTAACTGTGTGTAACTGTGTGTGTGTGTAACTGTGTGTGTGTGTAACTGTGTGTGTGTGACTGTGTAACTGTGTGTGTGTGTGTGTGTAACTGTGTGTGTGTGTGTGTAACTGTGTGTGTGTGTGTGTAACTGTGTGTGTGTGTGTGTAACTGTGTGTGTGTGTGTGTAACTGTGTGTGTGTGTCACTGTGTGTGTGTGTCACTGTGTGTGTGTGTGACTGTGTGTGTGTCACTGTGTGTGTGACTGTGTGTGTGTCACTGTGTGTGTGTGTAACTGTGTGTGTGTGTGTAACTGTGTGTGTGTGTAACTGTGTGTGTGTGTAACTGTGTGTGTGTGTAACTGTGTGTGTGTGTGACTGTGTGTGTGTCACTGTGTGTGTGACTGTGTGTGTGTCACTGTGTGTGTGTGTAACTGTGTGTGTGTGTGTAACTGTGTGTGTGTGTAACTGTGTGTGTGTGTAACTGTGTGTGTGTGTGTAACTGTGTGTGTGTGTGTGTAACTGTGTGTGTGTGTGTGTAACTGTGTGTGTGTGTGTGTAACTGTGTGTGTGTGTGTGTGTAACTGTGTGTGTGTAACTGTGTGTGTGTGTAACTGTGTGTGTGTGTAACTGTGTGTGTGTGTAACTGTGTGTGTGTGTAACTGTGTGTGTGTGTAACTGTGTGTGTGTGTGTGTAACTGTGTGTGTGTGTGTGTAACTGTGTGTGTGTGTGTAACTGTGTGTGTGTGTAACTGTGTGTGTGTGACTGTGTGTGTATGTGACTGTGTGTGTATGTGACTGTGTGTGTGTGTCACTGTGTGTGTGTGTCACTGTGTGTGTGTGTCACTGTGTGTGTGTGTCACTGTGTGTGTGTGTCACTGTGTGTGTGTGTCACTGTGTGTCACTGTGTGTGTGTGTCACTGTGTGTGTGTCACTGTGTGTGACTGTGTGTGTGACTGTGTGTGTGACTGTGTGTGTGACTGTGTGTGTGACTCTGTGTAACTGTGTGTGTGTGTAACTGTGTGTGTGTGTGTAAGTGTGTGTGTGTGTGTAACTGTGTGTGTGTGTGTGTAAGTGTGTGTGTGTGTGTAACTGTGTGTGTGTGTGTGTAACTGTGTGTGTGTGTGTGTAACTGTGTGTGTGTGTGTGTGTAACTGTGTGTGTGTGTGTGTAACTGTGTGTGTGTGTGTGTAACTGTGTGTGTGTGTGTGTAACTGTGTGTGTGTGTGTGTAACTGTGTGTGTGTGTAACTGTGTGTGTGTGTAACTGTGTGTGTGTGTGTAACTGTGTGTGTGTGTGTAACTGTGTGTGTGTAACTGTGTGTGACTGTGTGTGTAACTGTGTGTGTGTGTAACTGTGTGTGACTGTGTGTGTAACTGTGTGTGACTGTGTGTGTGTGTAACTGTGTGTGTGACTGTGTGTGTGTGTAACTGTGTGTGTGTGTGTAACTGTGTGTGTGTGTGTAACTGTGTGTGTGTGTGTAACTGTGTGTGTGTGTGTAACTGTGTGTGTGTGTGTAACTGTGTGTGTGTGTGTAACTGTGTGTGTGTGTGTAACTGTGTGTGTGTAACTGTGTGTGTGTAACTGTGTGTGTGTGTGTGTAACTGTGTGTGTGTAACTGTGTGTGTGTGTGTGTGTAACTGTGTGTGTGTAACTGTGTGTGTGTGTAACTGTGTGTGTGTGTAACTGTGTGTGTGTGTGACTGTGTGTGTGTGTGTAACTGTGTGTGTGTGTGACTGTGTGTAACTGTGTGTGTGTGTGTGTGTAACTGTGTGTAACTGTGTGTGTGTGTGTGTAACTGTGTGTAACTGTGTGTGTGTGTGTGACTGTGTGTGTGTGTAACTGTGTGTGTGTGACTGTGTGTGTGTGTAACTGTGTGTGACTGTGTGTAACTGTGTGTGTGTGACTGTGTGTAACTGTGTGTGTGTGACTGTGTGTAACTGTGTGTGTGTGTAACTGTGTGTAACTGTGTGTGTGTGTAACTGTGTGTAACTGTGTGTGTGTGTGTAACTGTGTGTGTGTGTAACTGTGTGTGTGTGTGTAACTGTGTGTGACTGTGTAACTGTGTGTGTGTGACTGTGTAACTGTGTGTGTGTGTGTAACTGTGTGTGTGTGTGTGTAACTGTGTGTGTGTAACTGTGTAACCGTGTGTGTGACTGTGTGACTGTGACTGTGTGTGTAACTGTGTGTGACTGTGTGTGTGTAACTGTGTGTGTAACTGTGTGTGACTGTGTGTGTGTGACTGTGTGTGTGTGTAACTGTGTGTGTGTGACTGTGTGTGTGTGTGTAACTGTGTGTGTGTGTGTAACTGTGTGTGTGTGTGTGTAACTGTGTGTGTGTGTGTAACTGCGTGTGTGTGTGTAACTGTGTGTGTGTGTGTAACTGTGTGTGTGTGTGTAACTGTGTGTGTGTGTGTAACTGTGTGTGTGTCTGTGTGTGTGTAACTGTGTGTGTGACTGTGTGTGTGTAACTGTGTGTGTGACTGTGTGTGTGTAACTGTGTGTGTGTAACTGTGTGTGTGACTGTGTAAGTGTGTGTAACTGTGTGTGTGTGTGTAACTGTGTGTAACTGTGTGTAACTGTGTGTGTAACTGTGTGTAACTGTGTGTAACTGTGTGTGTGTGTGTAACTGTGTGTGTGTGTGTAACTGTGTGTGTGTGTAACTGTGTGTGTGTGTGACTGTGTGTAACTGTGTGTGTGTGTGTGACTGTGTGTAACTGTGTGTGTGTGACTGTGTGTGTGTGTGACTGTGTGTGTGTGTAACTGTGTGTGTGTGTGTAACTGTGTGTGTGTGTAACTGTGTGTGTGTGTGTAACTGTGTGTGTGTGTGTAACTGTGTGTGTGTGTGTAACTGTGTGTGTGTGTAACTGTGTGTGTGTGTGTAACTGTGTGTGTGTGACTGTAACTGTGTGTGTGTGACTGTAACTGTGTGTGTAACTGTGTGTGTGTGTGTGTGACTGTAACTGTGTGTGTAACTGTGTGTGTGTGTGTAACTGTGTGTGTGTGTGTAACTGTGTGTGTGTGTGTAACTGTGTGTAACTGTGTGTGACTGTGTGTGACTGTGTGTGTGTGTGTGACTGTGTGTAACTGTGTGTGACTGTGTGTGTGTGTGACTGTGTGTGTGTGTGTAACTGTGTGTGTGTGTGACTGTGTGTGTGTGTAACTGTGTGTGTGTGTGACTGTGTGTGTGTGTAACTGTGTGTGTGACTGTGTGTGTGTGTGTAACTGTGTGTGTGACTGTGTGTGTGTGTGTAACTGTGTGTGTGTGTGTAACTGTGTGTGTGTGTGTAACTGTGTGTATGTGTGTAACTGTGTGTGTGTGTGTAACTGTGTGTGTGTGTGTAACTGTGTGTATGTGTGTAACTGTGTGTGTGTGTGTCACTGTGTGTGTGTGTGTGTCACTGTGTGTGTGTGTGTCACTGTGTGTGTGTGTGTAACTGTGTGTGTGTGTGTCACTGTGTGTGTGTGTGTCACTGTGTGTGTAACTGTGTGTGTGTCTAACTGTGTGTGTGTGACTGTGTGTAACTGTGTGTCACTGTGTGTAACTGTGTGTGTGTGTGTAACTGTGTGTGTGTGTGTCACTGTGTGTGTAACTGTGTGTGTGTCTAACTGTGTGTGTGTGACTGTGTGTAACTGTGTGTCACTGTGTGTAACTGTGTGTGTGTGTAACTGTGTGTGTGTGTGTAACTGTGTGTGTGTGTGTCACTGTGTGTGTGTGTGTGACTGTGTGTGTGTGTGACTGTGTGTGTGTGTGTAACTGTGTGTGTGTGTGTAACTGTGTGTGTGTGTGTGTAACTGTGTGTGTGTGTGTGTAACTGTGTGTGTGTGTAACTGTGTGTGTGTGTAACTGTGTGTGTGTGACTGTGTGTGTGTGTAACTGTGTGTGTGTGTGACTGTGTGTGTGTGTGTAACTGTGTGTGTGTGTGTAACTGTGTGTGTGTAACTGTGTGTGTGTAACTGTGTGTGTGTGTAACTGTGTGTGTGTGTAACTGTGTGTGTGTGTAACTGTGTGTGTGTGTGTAACTGTGTGTGTGTGACTGTGTGTGACTGTGTGTGACTGTGTGTGACTGTGTGTGACTGTGTAACTGTGTGTGTGTGTAACTGTGTGTGTGTAACTGTGTAACCGTGTGTGTGACTGTGTGACTGTGTGTGTGTGTGTGTGACTGTGTGTAACTGTGTGTGACTGTGTGTGTGTGTGTAACTGTGTGTGTGTGTGTGTGTAACTGTGTGTGTGTGTGTAACTGTGTGTGTGTGTGTAACTGTGTGTGTGTGTGTGTGTAACTGTGTGTGTGTGTGTGTAACTGTGTGTGTGTGTAACTGTGTGTGTGTGTGTAACTGTGTGTGTGTGTGTAACTGTGTGTGTGTGTAACTGTGTGTGTGTGTGTAACTGTGTGTGACTGTGTGTGTGACTGTGTGTGTGACTGTGTGTGTAACTGTGTGTGTGTAACTGTGTGTGTGTGACTGTGTGTGTGTAACTGTGTGTGACTGTGTGTGACTGTGTGTGTGTAACTGTGTGTGTGTGTGTAACTGTGTGTGACTGTGTGTAACTGTGTGTGACTGTGTGTAACTGTGTGTGTGTCACTGTGTGTAACTGTGTGTGTGTCACTGTGTGTGTGACTGTGTGTGACTGTGTAACTGTGTGTGACTGTGTGTGACTGTGTGTGACTGTGTGTGTGTAACTGTGTGTGTGTGTGACTGTGTGTGACTGTGTGTGTAACTGTGTGTAACCGTGTGTGTGTGTGTGTGCGTGGACGTAGGTGGAGAACGTCGTTCCGGACCACGACCTCCGCGTGAAGGTGACGCGCTCTGAGTTTGAGTCTCTCTGCTCCGACCTGTTTGAGCGAGTGGCTCAGCCTGTCCAGGATGCACTCCACAATGCACAGATGACCATGGTGAGTGTAGGGGTGAGTGTAGGGGTGAGTGGTGAGTGTAGGGGTGAGTGGTGAGTGTAGGGGTGAGTGGTGAGTGTAGGGGTGAGTGGTGAGTGTAGGGGTGAGTGTAGGGGTGAGTGGTGAGTGTAGGGGTGAGTGGTGAGTGTAGGGGTGAGTGGTGAGTGTAGGGGTGAGTGGTGAGTGTAGGGGTGAGTGTAGGGGTGAGTGTAGGGGTGAGTGGTGAGTGTGGAGTGGTGAGTGGCTCAGCCTGTCCAGGATGCACTCCACAATGCACAGATGACCATGGTGAGTGTAGGGGTGAGTGGTGAGTGTAGGGGTGAGTGGTGAGTGTAGGGGTGAGTGGTGAGTGTAGGGGTGAGTGGTGAGTGTAGGGGTGAGTGTAGGGGTGAGTGGTGAGTGTAGGGGTGAGTGGTGAGTGTAGGGGTGAGTGGTGAGTGTAGGGGTGAGTGTAGGGGTGAGGGGTGAGTGTAGGGGTGAGTGTAGGGGTGAGTGGTGAGTGTAGGGGTGAGTGGTGAGTGTAGGGGTGAGTGTAGGGGTGAGTGGTGAGTGTAGGGGTGAGTGGTGAGTGGCTCAGCCTGTCCAGGATGCACTCCACAATGCACAAATGACCATGGTGAGTGGTGAGTGTAGTGGTGAGTGTAGGGGTGAGTGGTGAGTGGAGTGGTGAGTGGCTCAGCCTGTCCAGGATGCACTCCACAATGCACAGATGACCATGGTGAGTGGTGAGTGTAGTGGTGAGTGGTGAGTGTAGTGGTGAGTGTAGGGGTGAGTGTAGGGGTGAGTGTAGGGGTGAGTGGTGAGTGTAGGGGTGAGTGTAGGGGTGAGTGGTGAGTGTAGGGGTGAGTGGTGAGTGTAGGGCTGAGTGGTGAGTGTAGGGGTGAGTGGTGAGTGTAGGGGTGAGTGGTGAGTGGAGTGGTGAGTGTAGGGGTGAGTGTAGGGGTGAGTGTAGGGGTGAGTGGTGAGTGGAGTGGTGAGTGGCTCAGCCTGTCCAGGATGCACTCCACAATGCACAGATGACCATGGTGAGTGTAGGGGTGAGTGGTGAGTGTAGTGGTGAGTGTAGGGGTGAGTGTAGGGGTGAGTGGTGAGTGTAGGGGTGAGTGTAGGGGTGAGTGTAGGGGTGAGTGGTGAGGGGTGAGTGGAGTGGTGAGTGGAGTGGTGAGTGGCTCAGCCTGTCCAGGATGCACTCCACAATGCACAGATGACCATGGTGAGTGGTGAGTGTAGGGGTGAGTGGTGAGTGTAGGGGTGAGTGGTGAGTGTAGGGGTGAGTGGTGAGTGTAGGGGTGAGTGGTGAGTGTAGGGGTGAGTGTAGGGGTGAGTGTAGGGGTGAGTGTAGGGGTGAGTGGTGAGTGGTGTGGTGAGTGGTGAGTGTAGGGGTGAGTGGTGAGTGTGGAGTGGTGAGTGGCTCAGCCTGTCCAGGATGCACTCCACAATGCACAAATGACCATGGTGAGTGTAGGGGTGAGTGTAGGGGTGAGTGGTGAGTGTAGGGGTGAGTGGTGAGTGGCTCAGCCTGTCCAGGATGCACTCCACAATGCACAGATGACCATGGTGAGTGGTGAGTGTAGGGGTGAGTGTAGGGGTGAGTGTAGGGGTGAGTGTAGGGGTGAGTGTAGGGGTGAGTGTAGGGGTGAGTGTAGGGGTGAGTGGTGAGTGTAGGGGTGAGTGGTGTGGTGAGTGGTGAGTGGAGTGGTGAGTGGTGAATGGTGAGTGTAGGGGTGAGTGGTGAGTGTAGGGGTGAGTGGTGAGTGTAGGGGTGAGTGGTGAGTGTAGGGGTGAGTGGTGAGTGTAGGGGTGAGTGGTGAGTGTAGGGGTGAGTGGTGAGTGTAGGGGTGAGTGGTGAGTGTAGGGGTGAGTGGTGAGTGTAGGGGTGAGTGTAGGGGTGAGTGGTGAGGGGTGAGTGGAGTGGTGAGTGGAGTGGTGAGTGGCTCAGCCTGTCCAGGATGCACTCCACAATGCACAGATGACCATGGTGAGTGGTGAGTGTAGGGGTGAGTGGTGAGTGGTGAGTGTAGGGGTGAGTGGTGAGGGGTGAGTGTAGGGGTGAGTGGTGAGTGTAGGGGTGAGTGGTGAGTGTAGAGGTGAGGGGTGAGTGTAGGGGTGAGTGTAGGGGTGAGTGTAGGGGTGAGTGGTGAGTGTAGGGGTGAGTGGTGAGTGTAGGGGTGAGGGGTGAGTGTAGGGGTGAGTGGTGAGTGTAGGGGTGAGTGGTGAGTGTAGGGGTGAGTGGTGAGTGTAGGGGTGAGTGTAGGGGTGAGTGGTGAGTGTAGGGGTGAGTGGTGAGTGTAAGGGTGAGTGTAGGGGTGAGTGGTGGGGTGAGTGTAGGGGTGAGTGTAGGGGTGAGTGGTGAGTGTAAGGGTGAGTGGTGAGTGTAGGGGTGAGTGGTGAGTGTGGAGTGGTGAGTGGCTCAGCCTGTCCAGGATGCACTCCACGCTGCACAGATGACCATGGTGAGTGGTGAGTGTAGGGGTGAGTGGTGAGGGGTGAGTGTAGGGGTGAGTGGTGAGTGTAGGGGTGAGTGGTGAGTGTAGGGGTGAGTGGTGAGTGTAGGGGTGAGTGTAGGGGTGAGTGGTGAGTGTAGGGGTGAGTGTAGGGGTGAGTGGTGAGTGGTGAGTGTAGGGGTGAGTGGTGAGGGGTGAGTGTAGGGGTGAGTGGTGAGTGTAGGGGTGAGTGGTGAGTGTAGGGGTGAGTGGTGAGTGTAGGGGTGAGTGTAGGGGTGAGTGGTGAGTGTAGGGGTGAGTGTAGGGGTGAGTGGTGAGTGTAGGGGTGAGTGGTGAGTGTAGGGGTGAGTGTAGAGGTGAGTGGTGAGTGTAGGGGTGAGTGGTGAGTGGAGTGGTGAGTGTGGAGTAGTGAGTGGTGAGTGTAGGGGTGAGTGGTGAGGGGTGAGTGTAAGGGTGAGTGTAGGGGTGAGTGGTGAGTGTAGGGGTGAGTGGTGAGTGTAGGGGTGAGTGTAGGGGTGAGTGGTGAGTGGAGTGGTGAGTGGTGAGTGTAGGGGTGAGTGGTGTGGTGAGTGTGGAGTGGTGAGTGTAGGGGTGAGTGGTGAGTGTAGGGCTGAGTGGTGAGTGTAGGGGTGAGTGGTGAGTGTAGGGGTGAGTGTAGGGGTGAGTGTAGGGGTGAGTGGTGAGTGTAGGGGTGAGTGGTGAGTGTAGGGGTGAGTGGTGAGTGTAGGGGTGAGTGGTGAGTGGAGGGGTGAGTGGTGAATGGTGAGTGTAGGGGTGAGTGGTGAGTGTAGGGGTGAGTGGTGCGTGTAGGGGTGAGTGGTGAGTGTAGGGGTGAGTGGTGAGTGTAGGGGTGAGTGGTGAGTGTAGGGGTGAGTGGTGAGTGTAGGGGTGAGTGGTGAGTGTAGGGGTGAGTGGTGAGTGTAGGGGTGAGTGGTGAGTGTAGGGGTGAGTGGTGAGTGTAGGGGTGAGTGGTGAGTGGTGGGGTGAGTGGAGTGGTGAGTGGTGGGGTGAGTGGAGTGGTGAGTGTAGGGGAGAGTGGTGAGTGTAGGGGTGAGTGGTGAGTGTAGGGGTGAGTGGTGAGTGTAGGGGTGAGTGGTGAGTGTAGGGGTGAGTGGTGAGTGTAGTGGTGAGTGTAGGGGTGAGTGGTGAGTGTAGGGGTGAGTGGTGAGTGTAGGGGTGAGTGGTGAGTGTAGTGGTGAGTGGTGAGTGTAGTGGTGAGTGGTGAGTGGTGGGGTGAGTGGAGTGGTGAGTGGAGTGGTGAGTGTAGGGGTGAGTGGAGAGTGTAGGGGTGAGTGGTGAGTGTAGGGGTGAGTGGTGAGTGGTGAGTGTAGGTGTGAGTGGTGGGGTGAGTGGTGAGTGTAGGGGTGAGTGGTGAGTGTAGGGGTGAGTGGTGGGGTGAGTGATGAGGGGTGAGTGTAGGGGTGAGTGGTGAGTGTAGGGGTGAGTGTAGGGGTGAGTGTAGGGGTGAGTGTAGGGGTGAGTGTAGGGGTGAGTGTAGGGGTGAGTGTAGGGGTGAGTGGAGTGGTGAGTGTAGGGGTGAGTGGAGTGGTGAGTGGAGGGGTGAGTGGTGAGTGTAGGGGTGAGTGGTGAGTGTAGGGGTGAGTGGTGAGTGTAGGGGTGAGTGTAGGGGTGAATGGTGAGTGTAGGGGTGAGTGGTGAGTGTAGGGGTGAGTGGTGAGTGGAGGGGTGAGTGGTGAGTGGAGGGGTGAGTGGTGAATGGTGATTGTAGGGGTGAGTGTAGGGGTGAGTGGTGAGTGTAGGGGTGAGTGTAGGGGTGAGTGGTGAGTGTAGGGGTGAGTGTAGGGGTGAGTGGTGAGTGTAGGGGTGAGTGTAGGGGTGAGTGGTGAGTGTAGGGGTGAGTGTAGGGGTGAGTGGTGAGTGTAGGGGGGAGTGGTGAGTGTAGGGGTGAGTGGTGAGTGGAGGGGTGAGTGGTGAATGGTGAGTGTAGTGGTGAGTGGTGAGTGTAGGGGTGAGTGGTGAGTGTAGGGGTGAGTGGTGAGTGTAGGGGTGAGTGGTGAGTGTAGGGGTGAGTGGTGGGGTGGAGTGGTGAGTGTTGGGGTGAGTGGTGAGTGTAGGGGTGAGTGGTGAGTGTAGGGGTGAGTGGTGGGGTGAGTGGTGAGTGTAGGGGTGAGTGGTGAGTGGTGAGTGTAGGGGTGAGTGGTGAGTGTAGGGGTGAGTGGTGAGTGTAGGGGTGAGTGTAGGGGTGTGTGGTGAGTCTAGGGGTGAGTGGTGAGTGGAGGGGTGAGTGGTGAGTGTAGGGGTGAGTGTAGGGGTGAGTGGTGAGTGTAGGGGTGAGTGGTGAGTGTAGGGGTGAGTGTAGGGGTGAGGGGTGAGTGGTGAGTGTAGGGGTGAGTGGTGAGTGGTGAGTGTAGGGGTGAGTGGTGAGTGTAGGGGTGAGTGGTGAGTGTAGGGGTGAGTGGTGAGTGTAGGGGTGAGTGGTGAGTGTAGGGGTGAGTGGTGAGTGTAGGGGTGAGTGGTGAGTTTAGGGGTGAGTGGTGAGTGTAGTGGTGAGTGGTGAGTGTAGGGGTGAGTGGTGAGTGTAGGGGTGAGTGTAGGGGTGAGTGGTGAGCGGAGTGGTGAGTGGTGTGGTGAGTGTAGGGGTGAGTGGTGAGTGTAGGGGTGAGTGTAGGGGTGAGTGTAGGGGTGAGTGTAGGGGTGAGTGGTGAGTGTAGGGGTGAGTGGTGAGGGGTGAGTGGTGAGTGTAGGGGTGAGTGTAGGGGTGAGTGTAGGGGTGAGTGGTGAGTGTAGGGGTGAGTGGTGAGTGTAGGGGTGAGTGGTGAGTGTAGGGGTGAGTGTAGGGGTGAGTGTAGGGGTGAGTGGTGAGTGTAGGGGTGAGTGGTGAGTGTAGGGGTGAGTGGTGAGTGTAGGGGTGAGTGGTGAGTGTAGGGGTGAGTGGTGAGTGTAGGGGTGAGTGTAGGGGTGAGTGTAGGGGTGAGTGTAGGGGTGAGTGGTGAGTGTAGGGGTGAGTGGTGAGTGTAGGGGTGAGGGGTGAGTGTAGGGGTGAGTGGTGAGTGTAGTGGTGAGTGGTGAGTGTAGTGGTGAGTGGTGAGTGTAGGGGTGAGTGTAGGGGTGAGTGGTGAGTGTAGGGGTGAGTGGTGAGTGTGAGTGGTGAGTGTAGGGGTGAGTGTAGGGGTGAGTGGTGAGTGTAGGGGTGAGTGGTGAGTGGTGAGTGTAGGGGTGAGTGGTGAGTGGTGAGTGTAGGGGTGAGTGTGGAGTGTAGGGGTGAGTGTAGGGGTGAGTGGTGAGTGTAGGGGTGATTGGTGAGTGTAGGGGTGAGTGTAGGGGTGAGTGTAGGGGTGAGTGGTGAGTGTAGGGGTGAGTGGTGTGGTGAGTGTAGGGGTGAGTGGAGTGGTGAGTGTAGGGGTGAGTGGAGTGGTGAGTGTAGGGGTGAGTGTGAGTGGTGAGTGTAGGGGTGAGTGTAGGGGTGAGTGGTGAGTGTAGGGGTGAGTGGTGAGTGGTGAGTGTAGGGGTGAGTGGTGAGTGGTGAGTGTAGGGGTGAGTGGTGAGTGTAGGGGTGAGTGTAGGGGTGAGTGGTGAGTGTAGGGGTGAGTGGTGAGTGTAGGGGTGAGGGGTGAGTGTAGGGGTGAGTGGTGAGTGTAGGGGTGAGTGGTGAGTGTAGGGGTGAGTGGTGAGTGTAGGGGTGAGTGGTGAGTGGTGAGGGGTGAGTGGTGAGTGGTGTGTAGGGGTGAGTGGTGTGTAGGGGTGAGTGGTGAGTGTAGTGGTGAGTGTAGGGGTGAGTGGTGAGTGTAGGGGTGAGTGTAGGGGTGAGTGGTGAGTGTAGGGGTGAGTGTAGGGGTGAGTGTAGTGGTGAGTGGTGAGTGTAGGGGTGAGTGTAGGGGTGAGTGGTGAGTGTAGGGGTGAGTGTAGGGGTGAGTGGTGAGGGGTGAGTGGTGAGTGTAGTGGTGAGTGGTGAGTGGAGGGGTGAGTGGTGAGTGTAGGGGTGAGTGTAGGGGTGAGTGGTGAGTGGAGGGGTGAGTGGTGAGGGGTGAGTGGAGAGTGTAGGGGTGAGTGTAGGGGTGAGTGTAGGGGTGAGTGGAGGGGTGAGTGGAGGGGTGAGGGGTGAGTGGTGAGTGTAGGGGTGAGTGGTGAGTGTAGGGGTGAGTGGTGAGTGTAGGGGTGAGTGGTGAGTGTAGGGGTGAGTGTAGGGGTGAGTGGTGAGTGTAGGGGTGAGTGGTGAGTGGTGAATGGAGGGGTGAGTGGAGTGGTGAGTGTAGGGGTGAGTGGTGAGGGGTGAGTGGTGAGTGTAGGGGTGAGTGGTGAGTGGTGAGGGGTGAGTGGTGAGTGGTGAGGGGTGAGGGGTGAGTGGGTGGTCATACACTCACTCATACTCACTCATACACTCACTCATACACTCACACTCACTCATACACTCACTCACTCACGCACTTACTCATCTAGTGAGTGAGTGGGTGAGTGTGTGTGTAACTGCACTTGCCCCTACAGCCCTGCTAGAGGCTACCTGGGGGAGCTTTGTCTGTGTGTATGTGTGTGTGTCTGTGTCACTGTGTGTCTGTGTATGTCAGTGTGTGTGTGTCTGTGTGTGTGTCACTGTGTGTGTGTTTCACTGTGTGTGTGTCACTGTGTGTGTCTGTGTGTCACTGTGTGTGTCTGTGTGTCACTGTGTGTGTCACTGTGTGTGTGTCACTGTGTGTGTCACTGTGTGTGTGTGTGACTGTGTGTGTCACTGTGTGTGTGTGTCACTGTGTGTGTGTGTCACTGTGTGTGTGTCACTGTGTGTGTCACTGTGTGTGTCACTGTGTGTGTGTCACTGTGTGTGTGTGTGTGTCACTGTGTGTCACTGTGTATGTGTGCCACTGTGTGTCTGTGTGAGTGTGTCACTCTGTGTCCGTGTGTCACTGTGTGTGTCACTGTGTGTGTGTCACTGTGTGTGTGTCACTGTGTGTGTGTGTGTCACTGTGTGTGTCACTGTGTGTGTGTGTGTGTGTCACTGTGTGTGTCACTGTGTGTGTGTCACTGTGTGTGTGTCACTGTGTGTGTGTCACTGTGTGTCTGTGTGAGTGTGTCGCTCTGTGTGTGTGTGTCACTGTGTGTGTGTCACTGTGTGTGTTTCACTGTGTGTGTTTCACTGTGTGTGTGTCACTGTGTGTGTGTCACTGTGTGTCTGTGTGAGTGTGTCACTGTGTCCGTGTGTCACTGTGTCCGTGTGTCACTGTGTGTGTGTCACTGTGTGTATCACTGTGTGTGTGTCACTGTGTGTGTCACTGTGTGTGTGTGTCACTGTGTGTGTGTGTCACTGTGTGTGTGTGTCACTGTGTGTGTGTCACTGTGTGTGTGTGTCACTGTGTGTGTGTCACTGTGTGTGTGTGTCACTGTGTGTGTGTGTCACTGTGTGTGTGTGTCACTGTGTGTGTGTGTCACTGTGTGTGTGTCACTGTGTGTGTGTGTGTCACTGTGTGTGTGTGTATCACTGTGTGTGTCACTGTGTGTGTGTCACTGTGTGTGTGTGTCACTGTGTGTGTGTGTCACTGTGTGTGTGTGTCACTGTGTGTGTGTGTGTCACTGTGTGTGTGTGTCGCTGTGTGTGTGTCACTGTGTGTTTGTGTCGCTGTGTGTGTCACTGTGTGTGTGTGTCACTGTGTGTGTGTCACTGTGTGTGTCACTGTGTGTGTGTGTCACTGTGTGTGTGTCGCTGTGTGTGTGTGTCACTGTGTGTGTGTGTCGCTGTGTGTGTGTGTCGCTGTGTGTGTGTCACTGTGTGTGTGTGTGTGTCACTCTGTCCGTGTGTCCGTGCTGTGCCCTGATAGGCCGAGGTGGACCACGTGATCATTGTGGGTGGAGCCACGCGAGTCCCCAAGGTGCAGGAGGCCTTGCTCAGGGCGGTCGGGAGGTGAGGGTGGAGTGTGTGGAGTGGAGTGTGTGTCACTGTGTGTGTGTGTACGTGTGTGTGTGTATGTACGTGTGTGTGTGTATGTACGTGTGTGTGTGTGTATCTGTGTGTCTATGTATGTGTGTGTGTATGTGTGTGTGTCACTGTATGTGTGTGTGTGATGTGTGGTGTGTGTATGTGTGTAGTGTGTGTGATGTGTGGTGTGTGTATGTGTGTGTCTGTATGTATGTGTGGTGTGTATGTGTGTGTCTGTATGTATGTGTGGTGTGTATGTGTGTCTGTATGTATGTGTGTGTGGTGTGTATGTGTGTCTGTATGTATGTGTGGTGTGTATGTATGTGTCTGTATGTATGTGTGGTGTGTGTCTATGTATGTATGTATGTGTGGTGTGTGTGTCTATGTATGTGTGTGTGTGGTGTGTGTGTACGTGTGTATGTGGAGTGTGGTGTGTATTTATGCACGTGTGTGTGTGGTGTGTGTGTGTACGTATGTGTGTATGTGTGGTTTGTGTATGTATGTGTGGTGTGTGTGTGTGTATGTGTGTTTGTGTGTGTTTGTGTGTGTGTGTATGTGTGTTTGTGTGTGTGTATGTGTGTTTGTATGTGTGTGTGTATGTGTGTTTGTATGTGTGTGTGTATGTGTGTTTGTATGTGTGTGTCTATGTGTGTTTGTATGTGTGTGTCTATGTGTGTTTGTATGTGTGTGTCTATGTGTGTTTGTATGTGTGTGTCTATGTGTGGTGTATGTATCTGTGTATGTGTGGTGTGTGTTTGTATGTGTGGTGTGTGTTTGTATGTGTATGTGTGGTGTGTGTGTGCGTATGTATGTATGTGTGGTGTGTGTATGTATGTATGTGTGTGTGTGTATGTATGTGTGTGTGGTGTGTGTGTGTATGTCTTGTGTGTGTGTGTATGTCTTGTGTGTGTGTGTTTGTGTATGTCTTGTGTGTGTTTGTGTGTATGTGTGTGTATGTCTTGTGTGTGTGTGTATGTCTTGTGTGTGTGTGTGTATGTCTTGTGTGTGTGTGTGTATGTCTTGTGTGTGTGTGTATGTGTGTGTGTATGTCTTGTTTATGTCTTGTGTGTGTGTGTGTATGTGTGGTGTGTGTTTGTATGTGTGTGTGTTTGTATGTGTGTATGTATGTCTTGTGTGTGTATGTGTGTGTATCTGTGTGTGTATGTGTATCTGTGACTGTGGTGTATGTGTGTGTGTGTATGTGTGTGTGTGTATGTCTCTGTGTGTGTGTCTGTGTGTGTCTGTGTGTGTATGTGTGATGTATGTATGTATCTGTGGTGTGTGTGTGTATGTATGTATGTGTGGTGTGTGTGTGTGTCTGTGTGTGTGTCTCTGTGTGTGTGTGTCTCTGTGTGTGTGTGTCTCTGTGTGTGTGTGTCTCTGTGTGTGTGTGTCTCTGTGTGTGTGTGTCTCTGTGTGTGTGTGTCTCTGTGTGTGTGTGTCTCTGTGTGTGTGTGTCTCTGTGTGTGTGTGTGTCTCTGTGTGTGTGTCTCTCTGTGTGTGTGTCTCTGTGTGTGTGTGTCACTGTCTCTGTGTCTCTGTGTGTGTGTGTCTCTGTGTGTGTGTCTGTATGTGTGTGTGTGTCTCTGTGTGTGTGTCTGTATGTGTGTGTTTGTCTCTGTGTGTGTCTCTGTGTCTTTGTAGGGAGTCTCTAGGACGAAGCGTCAATGCTGACGAGTCGGTGGCCCTGGGTTCTGTGTGTGTGTGGTGTGTGTCACTGTGTGTGTCTGTGTGTGTGTGTCACTGTGTGTGTGTGTGTGTCTCTGTGTGTGTCTCTGTGTCTTTGTAGGGAGTCTCTAGGACGAAGCGTCAATGCTGATGAGTCGGTGGCCCTGGGTTCTGTGTGTGTGTGTCACTGTGTGTGTGTCTCTGTGTGTGTGTGTCTCTGTGTGTGTGTCTCTGTGTGTGTGTGTCTCTGTGTCTTTGTAGGGAGTCTCTAGGACGAAGCGTCAATGCTGATGAGTCGGTGGCCCTGGGTTCTGTGTGTGTGTGGTGTGTGTGTGTCACTGTCTCTGTGTGTGTGTCACTGTGTGTGTGTGTGTGTCTCTGTGTGTGGTGTGTCTCTGTGTGTGTGTGTCTGTATATGTGTGTCACTGTGTGTGTGTGTAGGGAGTCTCTAGGACGAAGCGTCAATGCTGATGAGTCGGTGGCCCTGGGTTCGGTGTTCCGGGCGGCCGCTCTGAGCCAAGCGTTTCGTGTGAAGCCGCTCGTAGCACGTGACAGCACCTCACACAGCGTGCAGGTACAGTCTAGTACACACAGCGTGTGTAGTATACAGTCTAGTACACACAGCGTGTGTAGGTGTAGTCTAGTACACACAGTGTGTCTAGTACACACAGTGTGTCTAGTACACACACTGTGTACTACACACACACTGTGTACTACACACACAGTGTGTACCTCACACAGCGTGCAGGTACAGTCTAGTACACACAGCGTGTGTAGTATACAGTCTAGTACACACAGCGTGTGTAGTATACAGTCTAGTACACACAGTGTGTGTAGTATACACTGTGTGTAGTATACAGTCTAGTACACACAGTGTGTGTGTAGTATACAGTCTAGTACACACACAGCGTGCAGGTACAGTCTAGTACACACAGTGTGTGTGTAGTATACAGTCTAGTACACACACAGCGTGCAGGTACAGTCTAGTACACACAGTGTGTCTAGTACACACAGTGTGTCTAGTACACACAGCGTGTAGTATACACACTGTGTAGTACACACTGTGTGTAGTACACAGTGTGTGTAGTACACACACAGCGTGCAGGTACAGTCTAGTACACACAGTATACAGTCTAGTACACACAGTGTGTAGTATACAGTCTAGTACACACAGCGTGTAGTATACAGTCTAGTACACACAGTGTGTGTAGTACACACACAGTGTGTAGGTACAGTCTAGTACACACAGTGTGTAGTACACAGTCTAGTACACACTGTGTGTAGTATACAGTCTAGTACACACAGCGTGTGTAGTATACAGTCTAGTACACACAGCGTGTGTAGTATACAGTCTAGTACACACACTGTGTGTAGTATACAGTCTAGTACACACAGCGTGTGTAGTATACAGTCTAGTACACACAGCGTGTGTAGTATACAGTCTAGTACACACACAGTGTGTAGTATACAGTCTAGTACACACTGTGTGTAGTATACAGTCTAGTACACACACAGTGTGTAGTATACAGTCTAGTACACACACAGTGTGTAGTATACAGTCTAGTACACACTGTGTGTAGTATACAGTCTAGTACACACAGCGTGTGTAGTATACAGTCTAGTACACACTGTGTAGTATACAGTCTAGTACACACACTGTGTACTACACACACAGTGTGTACCACACACAGCGTGCAGGTACAGTCTAGTACACACACTGTGTAGTATACAGTCTAGTACACACTGTGTGTAGTATACAGTCTAGTACACACAGCGTGTGTAGTATACAGTCTAGTACACACTGTGTGTAGTATACAGTCTAGTACACACACAGTGTGTAGTATACAGTCTAGTACACACTGTGTGTAGTATACAGTCTAGTACACACAGCGTGTGTAGTATACAGTCTAGTACACACTGTGTGTAGTATACAGTCTAGTACACACAGCGTGTGTAGTATACAGTCTAGTACACACAGTGTGTCTAGTACACACAGTGTGTCTAGTACACACAGCGTGTAGTATACACACTGTGTAGTACACACTGTGTGTAGTACACACACAGCGTGCAGGTACAGTCTAGTACACACAGTATACAGTCTAGTACACACAGTGTGTAGTATACAGTCTAGTACACACAGCGTGTAGTATACAGTCTAGTACACACAGTGTGTGTAGTACACACACAGTGTGTAGGTACAGTCTAGTACACACAGTGTGTAGTACACGGTCTAGTACACACATTGTGTGTGTAGTATACAGTCTAGTACACACAGCGTGTGTAGTACACAGTCTAGTACACACAGTGTGTGTAGTACACACAGCGTGCAGGTACAGTCTAGTACACACAGCGTGTCTAGTATACAGTCTAGTACACACAGTGTGTGTAGGTGTAGTCTAGTACACACAGTGTGTGTAGGTGTAGTCTAGTACACACACTGTGTGTAGTATACAGTCTAGTACACACAGCGTGTCTAGTACACACAGTGTGCAGGTACAGTCTAGTACACACACTGTGTACTACACACACAGTGTGTACCACACACAGCGTGCAGGTACAGTCTAGTACACACACAGTGTGTAGTATACAGTCTAGTACACACTGTGTGTAGTATACAGTCTAGTACACACACAGTGTGTAGTATACAGTCTAGTACACACACAGTGTGTAGTATACAGTCTAGTACACACTGTGTGTAGTATACAGTCTAGTACACACAGCGTGTGTAGTATACAGTCTAGTACACACTGTGTAGTATACAGTCTAGTACACACACTGTGTACTACACACACAGTGTGTACCACACACAGCGTGCAGGTACAGTCTAGTACACACACAGTGTGTAGTATACAGTCTAGTACACACTGTGTGTAGTATACAGTCTAGTACACACACAGTGTGTAGTATACAGTCTAGTACACACACAGTGTGTAGTATACAGTCTAGTACACACTGTGTGTAGTATACAGTCTAGTACACACAGCGTGTGTAGTATACAGTCTAGTACACACTGTGTAGTATACAGTCTAGTACACACAGCGTGTAGGTACAGTCTAGTACACACAGCGTGTCTAGTACACAGTGTGTACTACACACAGTGTGTAGTACACACAGTGTACAGTACACTACACACACAGTGTACAGTACACTACACACACAGTGTACAGTACACTACACACACAGTGTACAGTACACTACACACACAGTGTACAGTACACTACACACACAGTGTACAGTACACTACACACACAGTGTACAGTACACTACACACAGTGTACAGTACACTACACACAGTGTACAGTGCACTACACACAGTGTACAGTGCACTACACACCGTGTACAGTACACTACACACACCGTGTACAGTACACTACACACACAGTGTACAGTACACTACACACACAGTGTACAGTACACTACACACAGTGTACAGTACACTACACACACAGTGTACAGTACACTACACACACAGTGTACAGTACACTACACACACAGTGTACAGTACACTACACACACAGTGTACAGTACACTACACACACAGTGTACAGTACACTACACACACAGTGTACAGGTGTAGAACTTGTGGGGAGTGTTAGTGTAGTAGTGTATAGTGTAGTAGTGTATAGTGTAGTAGTGTATAGTGTAGTAGTGTATAGTGTGTAGTGTATAGTGTAGTGTATAGTGTAGTGTATAGTGTAGTGTATAGTGTAGTAGTGTATAGTGTAGTAGTGTGTAGTGTAGTAGTGTATAGTGTAGTGTATAGTGTATAGTGTAGTAGTGTATAGTGTAGTAGTGTATAGTGTAGTGTAGTAGTGTATAGTGTAGTGTGTAGTGTAGTAGTGTATAGTGTAGTAGTGTATAGTGTAGTAGTGTATAGTGTAGTGTATAGTGTATAGTGTAGTAGTGTATAGTGTAGTAGTGTATAGTGTAGTGTAGTAGTGTATAGTGTAGTGTATAGTGTAGTGTATAGTGTAGTAGTGTATAGTGTATAGTGTAGTAGTGTATAGTGTAGTAGTGTATAGTGTAGTGTAGTAGTGTATAGTGTAGTAGTGTATAGTGTAGTGTAGTAGTGTATAGTGTAGTAGTGTATAGTGTAGTAGTGTATAGTGTAGTAGTGTGTAGTGTAGTAGTGTATAGTGTAGTGTAGTAGTGTATAGTGTAGTGTATAGTGTAGTAGTGTATAGTGTATAGTATAATGTAGTAGTGTATAGTGTAGTAGTGTAGTAGTGTATAGTGTAGTAGTGTATAGTGTAGTAGTGTATAGTGTAGTAGTGTATAGTGTAGTAGTGTATAGTGTAGTAGTGTATAGTGTAGTAGTGTATAGTGTAGTAGTGTATAGTGTAGTAGTGTATAGTGTAGTAGTGTATAGTGTAGTAGTGTATAGTGTAGTAGTGTATAGTGTAGTGTAGTAGTGTATAGTGTGTAGTGTATAGTGTAGTGTAGTAGTGTGTAGTGTAGTAGTGTATAGTGTAGTGTAGTAGTGTATAGTGTGTAGTGTATAGTTAGTAGTGTATAGTGTAGTGTATAGTGTAGTAGTGTATAGTGTAGTAGTGTATAGTGTAGTAGTGTATAGTGTAGTAGTGTATAGTGTAGTAGTGTATAGTGTAGTAGTGTATAGTGTA